GGATATATCCACATAAAGATATGTATCATATATGTGTGTCTGTATATATGTATTGTACATGTTCACATTACATACATACACACAGAGAGGATGCACACTAGAGATAATTAGAGAGAAAGAAAAAGCAAATGCAGCAAAATGTCAGATGTTCACAGTATTATTCTCTTTTATTTTCTCTAGCTTTAAAATTTTCAAAATAATATTTTGAGAAAAAAATTTTAAAATAAGGTCCCAAGAATAAAACACTTAGAGAAAATATTTTAAACAAAATTTTATGACACCTCACAGGAATGTTATATCTTATCCTGCTTTCTCTAAACACTGGGGCTGTGGACTGAACGTCTGTGTCCTCCCCCCACCCACTGGGGATTCATATGTGAAGCCCCAGCTCTCCATGTGACTGTATTTGGAGACAGGGCCTTTAGGGAGGTAATTAAGGTTAAATGATGTTATATGGGTAGGCCTCTGATCCAAGAGAATTAGTGTCCTTAAAGGGACAGACACTTTCTCTTTGTGAGGGTACAGACCAAGGAAAGGCTATATGTACACACAGCAAGCAGGTGGCCATCTGTAACCCAAGGAGAGGGCCCTCACCAGACACCAATCCTGCTGGCACCTAGATCTTAGACTACGCAGCATCAAGAACTGTGAGAAAATAAATTTCTGTTGTTCGAGCTGCCTAATTTGTGGTATTCTGTTACAGCAGCCTAAGCAGATTAATATACCATGTAAGCTCTATTTTTATTAAAGTCCTATACATTTCAGGCAGGGATTGTATATCCATAGGGTATAATGGGTTATAATCAAAACCTCATAATACTACATGATGTATCTTCCTGGAGTATTTATTTTATTCAGTGGGGACAATATAATTTGTTTTCATATTAAAATTTCTACACGCATGTTTATTAGATGTAAAATACAAAACTTCTATTTATTTTGAAAACAAATCAGGAGACTTGAAATAAATTTTGTGCTTGTCATGGGATAATTCAGCCTTTGTATCTAGATATGCATTCATTTATATGGAAAAGTTAGCAGAGCACTCCTTCTTTCTGATAGTTTAATGAAAATATTAATTTCGTTCATTTTAATCTGTATTTTATCATGTACCTCTAAAAAAGCAAGGACTTTTGTTTTTTGGAGACAGGGTCTTGCTCTGTCACACAGTCTGAAGAGCAGTGGCGTGATCACAGCTCACTGCAGTCTTAACCTCTGGACTCAAGTGATCCTCTCACCTCAGCCTTCCAAGTAGCTGGGACTACAGGCATGAGCCATCATGCCCAGCTAATTAAAAAAAAACTGGGGGACTAGGGCGGTGGCTCATGCCTGTAATCCCAACACTTTGGGAGGCTGAGGTAGGCAGATCACCTAAGGTCAGGAATTTGACCAGCCTGGCCAACATGGTGAAACACTGTCTCTACTAAAAATATAAAAAATTTAGCCAGGCATGGTGGTGGGCACCTGTAATACCAGCTACTTGGGAAGCTGAGGCAGAAGAACTGCTTGAACCCAGGAGATAGAAGTTGCAATGAGCCGACATGGTGCCACTGCACTCCAGCCTGGGCAACAGAGTGAGACTGACTAAAAAAAGAAAAATTTAATTTTTTTTTCTTCTAGAGATCGGATACCACTCTGTTGCCCTGGCTGGTCTTGAGCTCCTGGGATTAAGCAATCTTCCTGCCTTGGCCTCCCAAAGTGCTGGGATTACAGATGTGAGCCACTGTGGCTGGCCATAAAAGGCAAGCACTTTCAAAACCACAACTTCAACACCAGTATCACATCTAAAAAAACTTAGTGGTAATTTCTTTGTATCATTCAATTTTATTCAAATTTCTAATCAATGTTCAAATTTCCCTGGCTGTAGTATATAAATTAGATCGACATGAATTACATTTAATTTGAATTTAATAAATAGAACTTAAATTAAGCTAGGCACTGTGGTTCATGTCTGTAATCCAAGCATTTTGAGAGGCCAAGGCGGGAGGATCACTTGAAGCTAGAAATTTGAGACCAGCCTGTGCAACAAAGCAAGACTTCATTTCTATTAAAAAAAAAAAAAATTAGGTGGGGTATGGTGGCACGTGCCTGTGATCCCAGCTACTCAGAAGGTTGAGGTAGGAGGATCGCTTGAGCCTCCAGTGAGCTATGATGGAGCCACTGCACTCCAGCCTGGGTGATAGAGGGAGAGACTCTGCCAAAAAAAAAAAAAAAAAAAAAAAAATCTAAATTAGAAAGTGCTTCAATCAGGATTTCAGTAAGATGCAAACATTGTTTCTTATATGTCTTTTCATCTATAAGTTCTCAGGTACCTTTTCTTACCATTTATCTGTTGAAGAAACCGGGTTGTTTGTTCAGTAGAACTTCCCACAGACTGGATATTGTGATTATACTCTGTTATATCATTTAGCCTGATTTTCTGTCCTATTTTTCTTAAAAATTGACAATTAGATCTAGAGAGAAGCACAGCTTCCATCCACGTCATTTCACAAAGTTATTTCTATAGTTAAGGAATTCAGAGGCTCCAAAATACCTTGCTGCATGTTTAAGACTGCCTTTTAGAACCTTCAAGAGCTTGATGGACATAACTGGCCTTGTACAAGAGAAAAGAGATTCCTAAAAATGAAAGTCTCTTTTTTATTTAGATTAATTTTTAAGACATGCTACCAATAAAAATGTCATCAATTTAAGTCCTTCAACAAAACTCAGACCTACAAGTCAGTTTATTTTTGTTTAAAATGTTATTCAGAAATATGTAAGTTTAGTTTGAAAATTATAAATGATGACTGAAAACTGATGAGATAAAAACTACATAAAACTTAAAAATAAAAGAACCACCATCCTGCAGGGACAAGTGACTAGTCATCGGGGAGAAACAACTGGCATCAAAATAAATCCCAAATTGAAGCATAAAAGTAAAATATAATAATTGTAGAGAAAAATTTAGGAGAGTATTTTTATAATCTTGGGCGGAGTGACAATCTGACATCAAAGACAAGTATCATAAAGAAAAAGACTGACATATCTTAGTACATAGACATTTAAGAATCTTCTCTGTCTAAACTTCTCTAAAAACAAAATCAAAAATCCCATATTACCATATACAGTTTTTTGGGTTTTTTTTTGAGACGGAGTCTTGTTCTGTCACCAGGCTGGAGTGCAGTGGCGCAATCTTGGCTGACTGCAACCTCCGCCTCTTGGGTTCAAGTGATTCTTCTGCCTCTGCCTCCCGAGTAGCTGGGATCACAGGCATGTGCCACCATGCCCGGCTATTTTTTGTATTTTTAGTAGAGATGGGGTTTCACCATGTTGGCCAGGATGGTCTCGATCTCTTGACCTCATGATCCGCCTGCCTTGGCCTCCCAAAGTGCTGGGATTACAGGTGGGAGCCACCGCCATATACAGTTTTAAAACAAGTGACACACCAGAAAAAACATTTGCAGTATTAATGTCAAAGAATGAAAGTCTTTAATCGAGCTATAAAATGCAGTAAGAAAAATCTCCCCATAGGAAAATGGATAAAGCTCATAAAGATCAATTCATAAAAGAGGTTGGGCACGGTGACTCACATCAGTAATCCCAGTACTTTGAGAGGCTGAGGCAGGTGGGTCACCTGAGGTCAGGAGTTCGAGACCAGCCCAACCAACATGGTGAAACCCCAACTCTACTAAAAATACAAATATTCTAGGCATGGTAGTGCGCACCTGTAATCCTACCTACTTGGGAGGCTGAGGGAAGAGAATTGCTTGAACCCAGGAGGTGGAGGTTGCAGCGAGCCAAGATCATGTCACTGCACTCCAGCCTGGGCAACATGGCAAGACTCCATCTCAAAAAAAAAAAATAATAATAATTAAAATAAAAGAGAAAATATAAATGTTCAAATGCATGAAGAGATGATCAACCTAAATATTCATCAAAGAAATGCATGCAAATTATCACAATGGGATAGCATTTCAGATGAAAACTAACAGCCAATGTACTCCCATACAGTTGATGAGAACATAATCTGGTAAATCTTTTAGAAGGAAATCTAGGCACACATGTTAAAAGAAACTTGTGTATACCCTTCTCCTGGGAATCTATCCTCAGGAAACAGTGAGACAAACACAAAAACATATATAAAAAATATTCATTTGTGTAGTTTATTATTAGTGAAAAAAATGCTAACTTATTAGTCAATAAATGGTTAAATAAGTTTTAGAGATTCAAAATACAGGTATAATATATTCTTATTTGTTTAAAAATTCAAATATGTACACGAGTATAGAAAACACGGAAAGATGCAAAGCCTACATACCTACAGGGGAGGAGGGGCTGGAGGGAGAGGGAAAACTTGAGCTATACATCTCTCTAGAAGATTATGAGTAATTTTCACCTTGTTCCTTCTTTCTGCACTGTCTGATATCTTCCCAAGATTATGCATTACACATTATATATGGAAAAAGTAATGATATTTGGAGGAAAAAATGCAAGATTTTACCAGCTTAGTGTTCTGTTTCTAATCACAGCAGCCAAGGACATTTTGTGAAAAGCATGCTCACAATTACTTTAAATCACGTAGTAGAAATACATCTAATTTAATCTATTTATGTGTTAATTTAGCCTAAATGGTATTCTTTAATTACATTTTAGTCTGAAACTTAACAGAATAGTTTTTTAAAAAATTTTTTTCTATTGATGAATCACCTTGCTCTTTTCACATTATGTCCAATATAATATGTCTTTAAAAATATATACTATAGTTCCTTTAACTCTCATTCATATAAAACACAGCTAACTTAAATATCTCAAAATGATCCAAAATAAAAATTCCTAACTTTTCTCTAATATAAGTTTTAAGAAAGGGAAATACTCTTCAGTCAGGCCTCTAACTGGTTGTATAGACAAGAAACCAATTCACCAATTTTTTCATGAATGTAAGGAAACAGTGAGGAGCGAGATAAGGAGAGAGGACACCAAAGAAATGAGCAGGTTAAATGGCTCTATTGAAACGAACTCACCAAAATGACGCCCAAGCTCCACAGGTCACAGGACTCATCGTAGCCATTCTGATTCAAGAGCTCTGGGGCCGCATAATGAAGGGTGAAGCATGGAGTTTTCAGGGGCTGATTATCTGGCGGCTTTAGCCGTGCAAACCCAAAGTCAATTACCTTAATTTCCAAATTGTCATTTTCATCAGTGAATAATAAATTCTGCAAGATATCAATGTTACATTAGTTTCTCACTAGACATGTCTTGGGATTTGCTGGTTCTATTTATGTAACACTGTATATTGATAGTTGATTCATGTACAGAGAGGTCTCATGGGAAGGCAGGAAGGAAGGGCATCAATGTACTCTGCATGATGCTTTTGGTATTATTTCAATTTTACCACGTCACATGAAACATTTTTCAACTGCACTATGTCTCTTCTGATGTCAGACCCTTTGTCAAGCTTTTCCCTCTGCTTGTCTTTGTCATCTGCTTCCTCCACCAACCTACCTTCCCCCACATCTACTCCTCATTTAGAGTTACCATCCTACCAAACTGAAGTTAGAATTTTTAATATTTTTTCCTAACACTACTTACTTTTCCTATTTGGCATTGATCAACTCTGTATTGCTAGTTTAATGTCTTCATCCCCATTATACCATAATTCCATAAGGACAGGGACTGTGTGTCTACCTTATTTTTTTACACTACCCCAGGGCCTGGCAAAGACATAGAGTAGTAGGTGCTTTGGTAAATATGTGTTCATTGAATAAAGTCACAAATAAAATTGCCTATTGAAGAAGACATGGTGGAGATATCATTACATTTCAGAAATATCTTCTCCAACAGCTAATACTTAAACATATTTTGATACTTAAGAGATATTATCCCTTAAATATTCAGAAAACATTATTATTTTGAATCATTCATCTACCAAGGCTTCGCGATCCCTAAGGCTTTGTAGTATTACTTTTTGTATTTATCACATGCTTAATAAATACTAACTGTACTGATGCACAAATTATTTTAATAAGTACATTAAACTAGTACTGAAATTAAGTGAAATCTGATTATATCATTCTTAGGCATCCTAACAAAATCTGTTATGCCTTTATAGTCATTAAATTGTTCCCAGCTCTGGAACATCATTTGCTTTGTTAATGCTATGCTAGCTGAAATAAAACACATTATAGAAAGTATCACTGATGCAAAGAAGAAAAATCTCCTAAGCCTTCCATATGCAAGTGAATAAAGTGGGTGGGAAAAAAATTAGCTTAAAAATTGTCTTAAATTTTCTAGCATACAATGTTGAATCATGAATTTGTGACAATGAAGTCACAGCTGGGGTTGATGGACATGTGCTTGGGAAGAAGTCTTTCAGCAAATAACACCTGAGCTCCTCTGCAGTACAAGGCACTATACCACACAGAGCAGCTGAATGAACCACAGCTGGCCTTGTCTTCATTGAGCCTGCTAAGTCTTTGGAAACGACTACGTTTATTCTATATTAAGACTGGCAAAGGGCTTCCTTGATTTTAGTTCTTTTTTTTTTTTGAGACAGTCTCGCTCTGTTGCCCAGGATGGAGTGCAGTGGTGTGATCTCGGCTCACTGCAACCTCCACCTCCTGGATTGAAGTGATTCTGGTGCCTCAGCCTCCCAAGTAGCTGGGATTACAGGTGCCTGCCATCACGCCTGGCTAATTTATTTTTTATTTTTAATAGAGATAGGGTTCTGTCATGTCGGCCAGACTGGTCTCAAACTCCTGTCCTCAAGTCATCCACCCACCTTGGCCTCCCAAAGTGCTGGGATTACAGTTGTGAGCCACTGCACCTGGCCAAATTCAGTTCTTAAAGGGGAAGAAGTGAGGGGATGTGGCAATCACTTCAATTTGGTGACTTTAATCCATTCCTCCTATTACTGAGCATGTAAAATTGAGAAACACTGCTCATTTGCCTACCTCTTCTCAAGCTCAAAGTCAGTGACAGTTCTACATGGAGAATGGTATGCCTAGTCAGGAATGGTGAGAAGTCACCATTCAAACCCCTTTTATCCTCGAGTTCTGCCTGAAACAAATTTGATGTAAGCAATTTTTCTTAATCTCAGAAGAGTACAAGTTTGAAAAATACAAAGCAGCATACTAAGAATGTCAGCCAGCTTCTAAATTTATCTGACTCTTACCTAGACTTAGGATTCTGCCTATACAGAAAATGAATCCACACAGCTACCTACCAAAAGAGAGCTAATCAGACCTTAAAGTGCCTCATGGGAAAATATTAAACTTTTAGTTTGGAAATGACATATACTGCCATTTAAAAGCCAAAGTGAAAGATATTTTAGTATGAAAATATTAGTTCAAAGGTACATTTTCATTTCTCCAAAATCTAGTTTGATTTGGGATTATAATTGTAGTTGAATGTCCTAAATAATCTGACAGTTCTGCCTAATTTCAAGTGTGTATTTGAAAGAAAAACCGTATAACAAATGAGAAGAATTAAGCTACATAAGTATCTTTTTATCAGGAAAGGAGGAATGCAAATGTAAATTCTGCAAGAGAGGACAGTTGCCTCATTTGAGACTCATGAGGTGACAGATGGCCAGTTTTCAAAGAATAAAACGTGAAAATGAATTCTATACAGTCATGGAACAGATCTTTTCAATTAAAAAAAACTACATGCTTGTTCCTTGTCTATCAAGAAAACATTTAAGTGGTGTGCTTTCACATTTAAAAATAGACAGCTAATCTCCAATGTACAGAGCACCATATTTTCAGTGGGTGTTATGTAGGAGAGTGAGAACTATGATGAAGGAAGCAGGGGGAGCTATCATAGTTGCAAGTTAATAAAACACAATTCACTTTTGATTAATTACTAGTAATGTGAATAATAGTAATAGAAAATACATAGACAGAAGTTTAAATACATGAAAGGAATAAACCAAATATGTTTTAAGGCACAGAATTCCATTACAAAATTTTCTTCTGCATGTGAAGTTGAGAAGAGAATTCCATTTTTAAAACATCCCCCTCTTCTAATAATTCAAGATACTTAAGTAAAAGGCAAAGATAGTACTTTTAGAGAAATATTCTTTTGTGGCTTAATCATAAAAGGAACATCAAATAAGTTAATATTTTAAATATACTTGATAATGCATTATAATCACACAATAATTAAAGTTCTATTTTGGAGAGATGTACAATTTTGTATGCGGTAAAGGATGAATCATCGTTATCTTTTTATACATATTGGTTTTTGTTTTTCAATTTTCATTATTTTGTTGATTTTCTAAAAGGAAGGAATTTTCATCTTTTTGATACTAAAAAGGGATCATGCTAAGAGTCAGAACGTTTTCTATTAGCCTTTCCTAAGAGGAGATCTATAAAAAGCTGTTACTTCTGCATAGTTCTATAAATATGATAGCACAATCACAGAAAGCACATAGAAAGATGGCATAACTAATTAAACCAAGACAATTCTTTATGTTTAAGTATTTAGAATAGCATTATATACATTTTTATTCATGAGCTAACCAATTTGATTACAAATGTAAAAAATAAGTTTTCAAAATACATCATTTAGAAAAAAACCCTCTAAAATTATATGTATGAGATATTATTTTCTGCTATAAAAATTCCCATTGCTATTTTTAGTCCACAACTGTTGCATAAAGTATTTTTTTCCATAAAAGGCTCTCACACTTACAAATATAACCTCAAGATGATCAGCTGGCAAAAAACAAACAAAGACAAATTTATTTTAACCTGAAATATAAAAGAAAAAAAAATCCAAGAAACATATTTTTAATTATCTATTTAACAGCCCTGAAAAGCAAAAAAAATAAGGAATCCTCCCCAGAAACCTCCCACACATTTGGGAGATCTTTAACAATGATGCTAGATTGGATTACATAAGAGATCAAGTTATTTTATACCTCAGGTTTCAAATCTCTGTGCACCACTCCAACGTCATGCATGTGGCTTACAGCGGAAACAAGCTTCCTCATGATGTAGCTAGCTTCCGTCTCACTGAAGTGCTTCTTTTTCTTAATGCGTTCAAACAATTCTCCCCCATTCAGAAGTTCCATCACTAGAAATGTGTGAAGCTAGAAAAAAAAAAAGAATAATGTGGTGGGCCTTCCTGAAGCACAGAAGTTTATTAACATATACAACATTTATTTACTAGCACCAATAAGTTTAAATAATCTCTTGTTAAAATAATCAATAGCAATCCTTGTATCTTAGGGGAAAGAGCTGAAAGATACTGTAGCTATTTTAGAATTCTATTTTAGTAATGGAAAATTTCAAGTACTGCAGTGAAATCTTTATACTGTATATCCTTTATCTCTTCCGTGATGAATTCTTTCATTTGTAGTGTTTTGTTTTAAGAATGAGGTCTCTAAAAAGAAATCTGGCCTTAAATTCCTGGCCTAAGGGATTCTCTCATCTCAGGCCTCCCAATGAGCTAGGACCACAGATGTGCAGCACTGTACCCAGCTAATTATTTCATTTGAATTCCACTCCAACCCTCTCTATTAAGTTTACACGTTTCTTTTTAAACTGCTGACAATAATGTGAAATCATTTGCTTTAAATAATATAGACTCTGAACACCGACCGAGTAGAATGGGCAACTGCCCAAATGAGGCCTGGCACACCCATCTAATGGCAAATTAATCTTTTAAAAAAGATATCGAGGCTGGGCTCAGTGGCTCACACCTGTAATCTCAATACTTTGGGAGGCTGAGGTGGGAATTGCTGGAGGTCAGGCGTTCAAGACCAGCTTGGTCAATAGAGTGAGACTCCATCTCTACAAAAAAAAATTTTTTAATTTAAATTTAAAAAGTTATTGTTTGATACTGTCATTTTGTACCTCTTGTTAGGACTCAACAGACTAGTTTCAGGGTTCCTATTAATATTCGTTACAAATACCCATAAATTCACTACAGGTTTTTGCTTTAACCCCAACAGCATTATCTTCATAGCTACTTTGTAAGTTACATGTTTACCATGCTTTCTCTTCTTTCCCACCCCTGGCCCTTTTCTGTCAGAATGCATAATTTTCATGAAGAAAATAATATAGGAACTATAAAAAAGCAAAGGACTATAATCCCAGCACTTTGAGAAGCCAGGGTAAGAGGATTGCTTGAGCCTAGGAGCTCAAGACCAGCTTACACAACCTAAAAAGACCTCATCTCTACAAAAAATAGTAACAAAAATTAGCCAGACATGGTGAAGCACACCTATAATCCCAGCTACTCAGGAGGCTGAGGTGGGAGAATCACTTGAGCTCAGGAGGTCAAGGCTGCAGTGAGCCATAACTGTGCCACTGCACTCCAAACTGGGTGATGGAGTGAGACCCTATCTCAAAAAAGAAAAAAACAAAGGACTTAATCAGCTCTCAAATGAACACAAGGTTTAGAAAAAGATATTATATCAATATACTGAATTCAGGTGCTAAGCATTATAGGGCCAAAATCACTTCGTAAACAAAATGTTTCCTTCTGTATTAGCAAAACTCAGAATAAACTGCTTATAAAAAGATAATTATCAGTACATTATTCTGAACATATTAGACAAACTGTAGAGTGAACACCCTTCTAACAAGAAAATTGCTCCCAGCCTGCTATCCATCAAGCTAACTTGAGTTTCTACATCAGACAAATAAAGTCGAGGCTGCAGGTCTACTCTAACTGTAGGCTGGTGAGCTTTAAAAAGATGTAAGGCAATACCTGTAGTGGTGTAAGAAGAGATTTAGAGTTCAACCTGGATTTGAACGTGAATTCTGTTATTTACTCATGATCTTGGGGATGCTACTTTATCTTATTAATTTTAGGATCCCTATCAATAAAATGCAGATAACAATGAGAAAACATATGTGTGGTAGAACTTGAATGATGGGCCTCCAAAGATGTTCACATTCTAATGCCCAGAAACTGTGGTGGTTACCTTAGAAGGATGGCAAAAGGGCCTTCACAGATATGACTAGCAAATTAAGGATCTTGAGATGGGAGATTATCCTGAATTATTCATCAGAGTTAGCAGTATGATATGTGACCCTGGAGGCAAGATCTTAAGAGTGATGCATGGAAGGTTCATAGTCGAAATGTTGGGGTTTGTCTAGAAGCTACAAAAGGCAAGTAAATGGACTGTCCCTTAGAGCCTCCAGAGCAGTGGTCCTCAACTTTTTTTTTTTTTTTTTTTTGAGACAGGGTCTCACACTATCATCCAGGCTGGAGTGCAGTAGTGCAGTCTTGGCTCACTGCAACCTCCCCTCCCTGCCCCATCTCAGGTTCAACCGATTCTCCCACCTCAGCCTCCTCGGCTTTTGGAGCAGCCTGGACTACAGGCGTGTGACACCACACCTAGTTAATTTTTTGTATTTTCTGGTAAAGATAGGGTCTCACCATGTTGGCCAGACTGGTCTCAAACTCCTGTAACCTCAAGTGATTCAGCTGCCTCAGCCTCCCAAAGTGCTGGAATTTCAGGCATGAGCCAGGTCCCCAACTTTTTTGGCACCAGGAAATGGTTTCACGGAAGGCAATTTTTCCATGGAAGAGGGGAGGCGGTAGTGGGGCAGAACAGGCATTAGATTATCGTAAGGAGTGATGTGACTTAGATCCCTCACATGCACATTCACAAAAGGGTTTGTGCTCCAGTGAGAATCTAACGCTGTGGCTGAACTGCTAGGCAGTGGAGCTCAGGCAGGAGTGCTGGCTCATCTGCCGCTCATCTCCGGCTGTGCGCCTCGTTCTGCTCTAGAGAGAACCAGCCCTCCTGACAGCTTGACTTTAAGCCAATGAGCCTGATTCTGGACTACTGACCTCCAGACTGAAAGACAATAAATTTGTATTGTTTTAAGTTTGTGGTGATTTGTTGCAGCAGCAATAGCAAACTCATGGAGTATGTGAAATGCATATCATGGCACACAAAATGAACTACGCTATTGCACAAAGGCTGAAGACCCATCATAACCAATTTTACCCATTAGTTGAAGAAAAGATTGGATACAGGGATGATCTAGACAACTGTGTCACCATCATGGGAAAAACCCAAGATACATTACAACTGCATATTAGATTGATAACATAATTTATACTAGCTTGTTTAGGATCGTATCATGTGACAATTTATATTTTACTAACTCCTGAATATATAAATAGCAAAACATCTGCTGAATTTGTGACATAAATAAAAATTAGGAATGTAGTTCCTGGAACCTCACATTAGTCTAAAGGTCACAGATCAAATATCTTGTCTGGGATATAGGTACGGGTACAGCTGCAACCCAGACGGGAATATCTAAGATCAACCATTGATTCCTTGAATGATGTGAATTTCCTCTACGTCATCTTCAACAGGAGACTGTCCAGTGAGCCTCTTAAGTACCTTGATGGCCAAGGGACTCCCTACCTCCTCTGGTGTTGAGTGGCTTGATGAGGCAGAGGAGGTGGAGGATCAGGGACAGCGGTTCCCTGAGTCCTTGCCTCGGGGAAGTGGTATTTCTTTTCTGACTACAAGAACCAAAGAGTGAGTAGAGGATGACACCATTTTCGGATGCTTACTGCCAGATGTGATTCTGCCCTCCCTAAGGCAGTACTGCAAAGTAAATAAAAGCAGGTTGGGCTCTGAAATTGGACTGTGTGATTCAGATCCTGGCCTTACCAGACTTACCAACTGTAAAACCTGTTATTTAACTTCTGTGAGTGTCCATTTTCTCACCTCATGGGTCTGTGGTAAGGACTGAATAAGATGATACATGCAGAGTGCCTGGTACAGGACCTAGACCACACAAGATATATGATAATAAATGGCAGCAGATATTATGGTTGTGGTGCTACTGCTGCTGTTGCCTGGTCTCACCATGATGTATCATTCCTGGCAACAGCACTTGAAGACATTTCAGTGGGGTAGAGAACTGGGCCCCATTGATCCTTGGTCACAGATATCACAACAGCACAACAAAGAGCGCCCAAAGCTGGAGTCCAGGTTCTTATTAGATTCGCACTGACTCTCTATATGACCTTGGACAAAGTTTCTTCACTGGTAAAACTGGAGCAAAGCACATTCAGAACTGGCTTGCACTCTTGTGCCTCCAAGTTGTCTTGAGTAGGACTGCATCACCTCCCAGCCACCGCTGGTCTCAGGGCACAGAATAGTGTAATGGAGCAATTTCTGACATGGGTGAGGTGAACAGACATGAACTGAACACATGGGGCTCCTCCCCACCTGCTGCAAAGCCAGACTGAGAGTAGAAGAGGGGGCAGCTTGACCTGGCCAGGTGTCTGAGCAGAATTTACCACCTGTAGCTAGAAGATAAAAGGAGTATCTTTGCTTTCTACTTCCTATTTGTCCTTTAGCTTGCATCAATTAGGCTCCAGACTTTCTCAGTTCTACTCTAGAAGTGAAAGGGAATTTGGAGGCTCAAAATTCCTGAGTCCTGAGAGGTATTTCAGGATTAAGTGATGGTGGGTAGCAGCTGCACTGGCAACAAGGACATTGTGGCTAATGACTGCACCACTGAGCTCCTGCCCACCCCCCTTCTTCCTGTCATAGGTTCATAGGTGGCAACTACTGAGTGAGAAAAGCATGAGAAGCGAAGGGATAACCTGATTTGGGGTTGGGGAACAGTGTGTGGCTGGGGAGGGGTTTGGGAGGGTGGTTTCTCTGCCCTTTCTGGTGGCTGGGTGATGTCCCATATCCCTGACTCTGACCCAGAAGCACCAACGAAACTGGTGAAAAGTACAACCTTGTATGTAAATTAGTACACAGAGAAAAAAAAAGCAGGATACCTGATCATGAAAAACTTCATGCAACTTCACAATATTGGGGTGTCCTTCACAGAGTTTCAGAGCTGTTATTTCTTTCTGAGTATTGGCTTCCATCCTGTAAGATGAAACACTTAGCACCCACATGTTTCTTCAGGCAAGTTTTTATATCAGTACTGCCCCAAGACTAATTTTGTTTTTATTTACAGTGCATTCAGAATATACATGTTATAGTATATCATAATGAGGGTTCCATGAAAGTAATGAATTATACCACATACTAGGAAAAGTAATAATCTGGAGAAGATTACTATTTCTGAGTCAGAAAAGTACAAATCATATAAAGAAAGAAATGCTCTACTTGTCTGTCAATTTGGTAATAAGAATATGCAATCTTAACAATAATCGTAAGTTACCAAAACAACTAGATGGTTCTCAAAGCTATCAGTAGCTTGCTAAATAATTTTAGAGAAAAGAGTTTCAAATATTCAACTAGTAGAAATAGCAACGGCTGCTAAAATCACTGAGACTGATTAAATATGTCACTGTCACAAAAGTTTTCTCTAAACTCGAAAGCAGATAAAACTATGATTTATGCCTAAAATGGATTACTTTATCAGAAAAGGTCAATCAGAGCTAGAAGTATAATGGACCAACTCATAAGCCAAGTGGTTAAACCTACGGGTAAAAAAGTCTTACAAAGTAATACTGGTTTCATTTTGGTTTTTTTTTTGAGATGGAGTCTCGCTCTATTGTCAGGCTGGAGTGCAGTGGCTCGATCTCGGCTCACTGCAACCTCTGCCTCCCAGGTTCAAGTGATTCTCCTGAATATTCATTTTAAATAAATACTCTTAATTTACAGAATTCATGAATACATAAGAAAGAATATTGTATTATAAACGGTCATACCTTTTGCTGATTATTTTGACTGCAAAAGCTTGGTTACTTTTCTTATGCACGCACTTTCGACAAATTGAAAAACTACCTTCTCCCAGTGGTTTGTCCTTCAAATCTAGGTCATAGTGTTGATAGAATGGAGAGTCCTGTTTAGAAACCAACATCATTTAACTTGAGAAAATGTCAGTAATACACAAGGGATCAAATAAATTATAGAGTAATATAAAATTATTAATATTAAATAGGAATAGGAGACATTTATAATCTAAAATTCATCTTACGTTATAGGTAATTTCTATTTTCATCTACGTAATTATTTAAGATACATAATATTCTATCATTGTGAAAAGAAGCTCATTCAACTTGACATTAATTCTTTAGGGAAAATAACTGCTATTTCCATTTTTTTAATTCCACTTTAGTTGAATGGCAAATCTATGAAAATTACTAGACTTATGAGGATTAATTACAGTTGGTATTTAAACACTCACAAAATCTAAAAACATGTCATATAAGTTACCAAATCTATACCTTCATCATTGCACTCCTGGCGACATTTGTCACTCCAGGACGTTCGACTCCCACGTGAAACTGAAGAGGGTCTACGACAGCTGCATTACGCTTGAACAGGATGGAAGGCGCAACGAAGGAATAGCCCTAAAAACAAGACAAAGAAATACAAAGAAAAACGAATTGCAGTTTTCCAGTTTAGCACAGATTAGACTGTAATGACATTTTTTCTTAGAAAAACACTTAAATATTTGTTGAGATTGAGTCTAATTTTATTTTATTTGCAATCTAAAATGATAGATTGTTTCAAATCATTTGAACAATGCTGTTTAGAAGGATATAATGCCATCTTCTGGTAGAACTAAACCAATTCAAAAATAAAGGTAGAACAAGACTTCTTCCCTATTTCACCCCTAAAATCAGACTCATGGATGAAATTTTCCTGGTTTGCTGATAAAAATTTGTTTATAAACATAACTGACTTCTCAAAAAAGTTCAGTCAATGTATTAAAGTGGTCTTTATTTTTTTATTAATATTATTTTTTTTGAGGCTGAGTCTGGCTCTGTTGTCCAGGCTGGAGCAGTGGTGCAATCCTGGCTCACTGAAACTTCTGCCTCCTGTGCCCAAGCCATTCTCCTGCCTCAGTCTCCAAATAGCTAGGATTACAGGCACACGCCACCATGCCTGATGGGGTTTAGCCATGTCTTGAACTGGTCTCGAACTCCTTCTTGGCCTCCAAAGTGCTAGGATTAAAGGCATGAGCTACCAGTCCCAGCCACAAAGTGGTCTTTAAATGCTATTGTTTTTCAAACTGGAAAAATGGCAAGTCTCATTAAAGTTAGTTTCTAGTTTAGCAATTATTTGATTCTCATTTATATCTTCAGAATCATTAAATTTAAAATTGTGTTTTGGAAAGGAACAAAGTCTAATGGCAGAATAATGCTCTGAGCCAAGTGGTATAAAGATGGATGATTAATCTGTTCAAGCTAGAAACCCTTCACTTATCAACAAACATTCAAAAAATGTCCAGTAAGTTCCCAGTCACATACTAGACACTGATAAGCAAAGAAGAAGACACAGTCTGGATGGCCAGATTAAGCATACTAAAGCTACACTGGTCAAAGCAAAGCTCTGAGGCCATTTAATAGTTAGAATATTTTATTTTGTGCAACAAATACCCTTTTCTAAATATAAAATTAAATCTTTTTTAAGAGTTAGCAGTTAAGATTAGTCATTGACAGTAAAGAATAAGACAGCATTGTGAACTAACGAATGTTTTTATACAGGGGCTGGGCACAGTGCCTCATGCCTACAATCCTAGCACTTTGTGAGGCCGTGGCGGGAAGATGGCTTGAGGCCAGAGTTCAAGATCGGCCTAGGCAACTAAGTAAGGCCCTGTTTCTACAATTTTTTAAAAATTAGCTGGGTGTGGTAGCACACATCTTGGTTCCAACTATTTAGGAGGCTGAGGCAGGAGGATCCCTTGAGCCCAGAAGTTCAGGGCTGCAATGAGCTACGATTGTGCCACTGCACTCCAGCCTGGGTGACAGAGTGAGACCTGGTCTGTTAAAACAATTGGTTTTTTTTTTGGCTGAACATGGTGGCTCACACCTGTAATTCAAGCACTTTGGGAAGCCAAGACAGGAGGATTACTTGAGGCCAGAAGTTCAAGACCAGCTTAGGCAACATAGAAAGACCTTATCTCTAAAAAAAAAAAACCACAAAAATTTGCTGGGTATGCTGGTTTGCACCTATGGTCTCAGGTATCCCAGAGACTGATGTGAGAGCATCACTTAAGCCCAGGAGTCTGAGGCTGCAGTGAGTTAGGATAGCACTGCTGCACTCCAGTCTGGACAACAGAGTGAGACCTTGTCTATATAAAAAAAACTTTTTAAAATATGAATAGAGGTAAAATAAAATATCAGGTATAAAATTAAAACTTCCCTTATATAAAAAAATAAACACATAAACAATATCTGCTACTGAGCAAACTACAAGCTTCGGTTAACAATCTGCAATATTTCTTCACTTAATAATTTTGAAGATATTAGAGAATCCCATTTTTATGATGCCAACAAAACTATTTCAATATGGGAAAATTAATCTTTTCTTTCAAAGGACATATGGCCAGTGTACATGTGCACAGAATGGGAAATTACCTGAAACAGCTTCTCGGAGCTCTGGGGCAGGGCTGCAGGAGAATAAGTGGGATCCATTTCTGTGAACTCTTCTGCAAAGTTACTCACATCTAATTCATCTCGAATGACTGGCTTAAATGGTGCAGGCACTTTTTTGGCAGCTAAATCATCCCAATTTATTTTCTAAAACAAAGCAAGTTGGTACAAAGTAGAAATCAATAGCCAAAATGTATTTCCTAAGAATAATAAAGACAGATTAGAATTTTGGCTGGTAGGGAGAGAGGATAAAAATAAGGGAACATATTTCAAATCAATAATAAAAAATATATCTTTTTCCAAGCAAGACCACAGCAGTTTATAGCTCGAGCCAATGCTGTGCCTCAAAGATGAGACTATCACTGTTGAATCTCAGAGTGTCCTCTGGGGGGCACTAAGACACCCTAGTTTACTCTTAAAGATAACAAAAATACTTTTGTCCTGAGCCTCTTCAGAAAGGTGTTAAGCCAAAAAGAAAACAACAAAAACATCCAAAGCAAAACAAAAACTGAAATCAAGGGTTTCCAAATGCTCTATGGATGCAGATATTAGCTCTAGAAGAATATTCCTATTTTCTAGGCAGTGCTACTTAGCTGTCCACCTGCACTTGCTTTTCCTCCTGGTCATCCGGACAGACTGGAAAATAAATTCACCATAAATCATGCATGTGCTCATGTCTAGAAGTTCAATGATACTATCATACTGATGTGATCACTCTTTTCTTATTCAACTGTGTTCAAGCATTTTAAAGACTGCTTCTTATGTCCCTCACAGAATGCAAGCCCCTCTTCTAACTAGGTCACTTCACTTACTGAGTTACAATACTGAAATCCAACCCTTTGCTCTGTTTCTTTGTGCTCCTATCATTTAAAATAACCTCAGATAACACTTACTGAATTAAATACTACAGATCTTCTATTACCATATTTCTTCAAATCTAAGATGCCATCACTGTTAGTAAGATACATAATTATTTTACCTATCATTAAGCAAAACATATTAATCACAAGAATATAAGATGATGGCCACTGTAATATGCATACTGATTTCAGTGATGATAAAATATGAAAATGTACACTTCTTGGTTGATAAAATTCAGTAAGTTTAATCAATTACCATACAATGTTTTTATTATGCTGTCTTGTAGATGCAATAGAAACAAAATAATCAAATTACAGATCTTCAAAATTCTCAGCTAAAATGCGATTGAGGTCATTTAGTTCATCTTTATTTGATCCAGTGAAACTGAAGCCCAGAAATAAGAAAGACTTGCATTCAAACACCAGTTGGCGGAAGAGTCAGGATTTGAACACAGTCTCTTGACTTTCTAATTAGTGTTTTTTTCTCTCTGCAGCTGTAATGTTTTCCATTATAGGCACATAACTTGTGCTTGGCTACTGTACATATATTAAGAGAAACTTCTATAGGAAAGGGGTAATTTAAAGAAACATGTTGTTAGCAGGAGAATATTTAATATGTAGAAAATGGAATGCTGTTACGATCCTTTCCACTACTGCTCCATTTACAGAGAAAAAGGCCATTTAGGCCTTTACAAGTAGAATTCTGATCTTTCCAAAAGTGTCCTGATCATTTAAAAATTCAAGGCAATTAAGTAATCTAAAATTACTATTCCAAGCTACTGAAAAGAGAAATTTTTCTAATATGAAAGATACACTGCAATATTCTCAAATACAGGGAGCAATGGAGAAAACGATCTTAGGAAAATATGATTGGGGGTACTTTGCTCAAATCATTTCTTATATTTTACCTGTTAATTTTTGAGATAAACTTCAGAACAAGTCAATTGAAAGTCTGTTCAAAGACTAATCTTTCCAGGCCATGTGAATCTATGAAATACATATAATAAAGTTTATTTGATTCTAAATGTATTTCTCATTATGTTACTGAACTTCTGTAAGATGCGCAGTAGTATTTTTAAAAATAATTATATTGACAGACTAAAAGAAATATGCCTTTTTTGAGCACAGAAGTGCAGAGATAATTCTGATTTCCAATATTTAAAAAGCAATAAATAACACAAGCTTACTTGATGAAAGAGTTTTTTTTTCATTATGATATGTTTTTTTCATTTGTTTTGGTGATAATAATGCAAAAGCTTAATTTATAGAATTTTAAAAAAACTAGATGGTCCCTTTAGACCATAACATTCGGGTCAGGCTTACTGATATGACGAAATGTCAGTGGAAAATTATCCCAATAGGGATTGTGCTCATTAATTTCACCAAGAATGCCAAGGACCCTGAAAACAGCAAGGAGTAGAAAACCATTTATCTATTCAATAATTTCACCTGAAAGAAGAGATGTTCTTTGATTTCATCTGCATCACGTGGACCACATCCCAGTCTCTTCTTGGGATCTTTCATCAAAAGACGCTGAATTAGGTCTTTAGCTAAAGCACTCATTTCTTGGGGATATGGAGGCTCACTTTTTAATATTCTCCTGTAGGCAGACAAAACTTGCTGTTAAAATAACCAGAACATGACAAAAAAAAAAAAAAGCATGGTGAAATACAGTTTGAAACTGAACCACATATAAATACTTAACATGTGTTAATAACATCTCAATACTATTGAAGAAATATGAAGTCAAATTTCTGAAACTCAAGTGAGTAGGAACAAAAAATGCTGGCTCATTTTTCAGTATAAGTCAATCCTGGTGAGAGGCTACCATCCCAAATATTTTACTAGGGGGAAAAAAGAAAAAGCTTGGGACTAGATTAGACCTCCCATATACAGACTAGACTCTATGATTAAAGACTTCACAACATATAACACTCTTAACAAATTCAGGTAAGTGAATTGAGCACTCGGATTTAAAAGTACAAAAGAGAACAAGCATCTCCACCTCACTTCTCTTCCCGAGTGTCAGCAAACCTAAGGGGCCCATGGGAATGCAAAGGGAAGTCCACTGAGACAAGACGGGGTCAGACCCACTTGGAGATAGTTCAACTCTTGATATCGGGAAATGGGCACTAGAGCTGGAGCTTTTCATGGGGTAAAAGTATCTGCTTCACTGTTTGCTGCTATAAAATGGCCAGAAAACCCCTATCAGACAAGTCAAGCTCAGAGATGGAGTAAAGTCCACAATTACAGAAAATAAAAACATAAGGTGGTAATCAAATTTCTTGATGAGAAATTTATTCTAAGGTCACAGAAGAAATCAATTCAATCCAAGTGTACCTTTCTCCTTCTTAAGATCCAGATCTATAATTTAATAAGAAATATTGAAAGGATTGACTGAAATGAAGAACCTTAATACAATATATATGAAGACAAAGTTACTACATTAATTGGGTATGCTAAAAGATTACCTATTGTGCATTCAAATATTAATAACCATTATGAAACAAAAACAGATAACCAATGTATAAGAGACAGTATAGTGTGGTGGGTTAGAACATAGACTTTGGACCCAGACTGAGTCCAATGATGGCTTGGCTTGACCTCATGTGACCTTGAGATAATTAACCTCTGTACCTCAGTTTTCTCATCTGTAAAATGGGCATAACATCAGTACCTACCTAAAATGGGTATTACGATGTTTAAATGAGTTAAGACCTGTAGAGTGCTTAGCATAGCACCTAGTGCACAGCAAATGCTCAATAAATGTGGGCCACTGTTATACTCCCTCATTCTAAAGCAACCATATAAAAAATAGGCCTAGATGCTCTATCAAGTAGCCACTGAGAATGAGTGAAATGATAATGAAACTGTAATTTTTTACAAAATATTCCAGCAGTGTTGTTAATCTCAAAAGTTAATTCTACCTCTAGCACTTAATTCTTGGAACCCCAAAAAAGGAAAGAAAAGTAATAAGCAGCAGCCTGTCTTCTTTTTGATTCTGTTATACTTTCCCATTGCTCACTGCTTGTCTGAATTTTCAGCATTAGTAGACAATCCTCTTCTCAGATCAGACACAGGCATATTTGAGAAAGAAATGGGGAATCTTCTTTATTGGGAAAAAATACACATAGCCTTTCCCATTTTCTCTACCTCTACTGTACTTTTTGCAGGAAAAAAATTTTGGGTAAAAAAGAATCAGGGTCGAGATAAGCAAATTGTGACATTTACTTTTGTTGAATCATGTAGAAATATATGCACTTTGGCTGACAACATCTTAGCATACTGACCCTGCACCATCTATTACTTCTTAAACCTTAAGAATACTGCAATGTGTCTTGGAAATCTACTTGATACCAGGCGCTGGGGAAAGAACAGTCAGTCCTGTGAAGACAGAAAGCAGAAATGTCCAGTATGATAGGTCCATCCTCAAAAGGAGTATCCAAAAACAGAAATGGCTCTGCTAAGATGCCAAGTCTGGAGAAATGAGCACAAGGAGACCACATGCAAGGAGGTAGAATTTTAAATTCAGATGAGGCAGGGACCACACAGCAGGAGAAATTGAGTAGAATCTGAAAGAATGTCTGCAGAAAATAGTGCTGATGAGGGAGCTTGAAGAACCACCAGTGATGGCCTGAACCCCTCCCTTTCCTGAGTGAAAATCTTAAGGCCAGAAGCAGCAGCAGGAGACACTAGCAAATGTGGACGAGTATTTTGCCCCACCCTATGAAAACAGAAGGTATGTGGAAGAAACACCACTTAGGCTCCCTGTTGTCTTGGTAAACAGAATACCACAGGGTTTCCTCAGTGAGGTGTGGTGGTTCTGAAGCCTATTCCTGTTAGAAAACTGCAGTGCCAGAAAGAGAACCAGACACTGGGAGTGGTGTGATGAGGAAAAAGGACCTAGAGCAGGCTACATCTTTTTTCCATGAGAAGGTAGTCCCAGAACTTTTTCTTACATTATTTCCTGAGTTAGGATAACTGTGGTGTGGCAGCTGGGTCAGGTGCTGTGAAAGATACTCCTGGAAGTGAAGTGGGCTGCATCTGGACTGAGAGGTGTGAGCAGGCATGCAGACCCCTGGAAGCCATGCATGCTCAAGAGCTATTATAAGGCACAGTTGCTGTGCTGAGCTTTTCATGCTGGGGTGGTCCACACATTCCTACTTATTCTCATCACCAGTGGTTGAGTGTGTCTTCTGTGGGCTGGGAAACCACACATAGGTGGTGGGAAGGTCCTTGATGAAGATGTGTTTGATGCTGTAATGTTTCCTGTCCTGCATCCTTATATAAAGCTAACTAAAACTAGTGCCCGATTCCAGTCTATTGTGACATATGAGTATGGACATCAACAGAACCCCAGACCACTGCTGGCTATGCAGAGTGGGCACTGCAGAAGTGGAGCTAAGGGTAGAGAATTCTGTGAGACATTTAGTCATAACAATACTAGAGCATCCTGCAACAAGGGCAGGGAGACATTTCTTGGGTATTTCTGTCACTTCTCCAATGTGCTTGATTTCTGAATTGGTAATATCCCAAAGTTATCTTTTTCTTGCTTAAACAGGGATCTGGAAAACTCCAGAAATGAATTACAATTAGGCAGAGCCCAAATAAATCTTAGAGCCTTCTGAAAAGTCAGAAAAACCTCTGAGTTGATAAGCCATATTAAACACTTCATGTGTTATTTAATAATATAATAATCCTATCAAAAGACTGCTATTTTTATCCTTTTACAGATGAGGAAAGACTCCTTCAAAAAAATAAGAAATATGAATATTGATTAAACTTGCAACAAGGATTTAGAAAATGGGTAACTTTAATATTCATTTGCAAAATATGTAACACAAATAAGAAAAACTCTGAAAAAGAAAATTGGGGTGATTTGCCTAGCCACATATTACAATGTATCATGAAATGAAATTGTTAAAATGAAGTACTAGCAAAATAAATGAACAACCAAATCAAATGAACACAGATGACACATTTGAAAAATTACCAAGCTTTTATAAAAACTTGTATTATTATTATTTAATTTATTTTGAGATGGATTCTCACTCTGTCTCTAGGATGGAGTGCAATAGTGCGATTCTCCTGCCGCAGGTTCAAGTGACTCTCCTGCCTCTGCCTCCTGATAGCTGGGATTACAGGCACCCACCACCATGCCTGGCTAATTTTCGTATTTTCAGTAGAGATGAGGTTTCACCATGTTGGCCAGGCTGGCCTTGAAATCCTGACCTCAGGTGATATGTCTGCCTCAGCCTTCCAAAGTGTTGGAATTACAGGCTTAAGCCACCATGCCGAGCCAAAAACATGTATCATTTTTTTAAAAATTACCAGATCATGTACAAAAGACCACAAACGTTGGGGAAACCAACTGTACAGGAAATAAACAACACAGAAAGCAAGATCCTTGCCTTATACTACAACCCAAATGAATTCCAAATGGATTGAGGAACCGCATGTAAAAAAAACAAACGAAATAAAATTAAAATCCACACCAATAATATAAAAATGAATATAAAATTTCTTCCTACTCATGAATTAAGTTTCTGGAAACCTCTGTGGCAAAAAGAATTCACAAGTGATTAGCTTCAGAATGTACAGAATAAAGGGTAAAGACACCAACATTAAAATTAAACCTATGATGGGAGAGATAAAGATACACAGGCAGACAGGTAACAAGCAAGGATGATAAAATATTCATGGTAGAATCTAGGTAGTGAGTGTGTGGGTGTCCACTGTAACAAATGTTTGAAAACTTTTATAATAAAATGTTTTATAAAAAGTAAACCTATGAAACTTTGTACATGTGTTTTTGTATGTTCACTGAAATATAACAAAGACCTGTCTCAGAAAAAAAAATCACTGACATTTAAGCACAACAGTCTTAGTAACAATGGGCGATGCTCACTTCTTAAACACACTAGGTTCTTTGTTCAAGTGTCAACTTTTCAGAGAAGCCTGCTCTAACCATCCTGTCAAGAACAGCCATTAACTCCGTACTCCTTATCCCTTGGCTCTATTTTATTTTTCTTCATGCATGCCATATGTTTATTTGTTTATTATTTCTCTCTCCCAACTAAAACATAAGCTCTAATGGAGTAAGAATTCTCTTTGTTTTGGTCACTGCTTTATTCCCAGGGCCTAGAACATTGCTTAGCATATAGCAACTCCTCAACAAATATTTAGTGAATAAATAAATGGTCAAATCATTTTCCACTTACTGTATCTTGCCCACTCGGGTTCTCTCTTCCTCACAGTTTCAGTGAGATGCCTGCAAATAACTCTTTTGCTTTTCTGCAAATGGCATGCATTCTCATGGGTTGTTTATTTCTATTTGTCCTCCATTTAAAAGTTCACAATCTTTTCCATTTCATGACTTAATGTTCTTGACTTTTACTTCCTGGTTCCCATGTGGTCCCAGAATTATAAAATTATTGATATGCCTGCCTGAGTTACAAACAGCTTTCAGTAAACTTTACTTACTCTAAATTTTTGTTCAACACTAGGGGAAAAGTTTAGCATATTATGGTGCATCCACTCAATAGTACATTATTCAGCCATTACAAAAAACATGTTTGCACAGAGTGTGTAATTAGAACA